AAAAAATATTTATTAAAATTAAATAATACTTGGCTCATATTAATCCCTACATCCACACAATATTTGTTCATCCACATTTGAACCCATATATATATATATATTTGTCAAAAAACTCCACTTCTTTTTCTTTGTTTTTTGAAAAATAAATGTTTACATTTTTATCAATATTAATAATAATAATATAAAAAATTCATATTTTTTGGTTATCTTTAAATATAGATTCATATTGATGTAAAAACAAATCTCAAAATTTTAGCTCAGATTCATGTTGTGAATGCTAAAAAAAACTGAATTATATAGGGTTCAGATTAACAATGTTAATACTAGTTAATTATATTTATATTGTGAATCCTCAAAATTTAATTATATATATATATATATATATATATATATATATATATATATATATATATATATATATATAGTTCAGATTCATAGTGTGAGTAAATTCACTTGCGAACTTTACAAACTAAACTTTGAAAAAAAAAACTTTTTGTTTCGTTTTTTTTAATATTTCGGTTTATTTTATCAAAAAAAATATAATAAATATATCAAATTTTATAATTTTTTGTGTTTTTTAAATAGCCATTAGCATTGATGTATAAAAACATTTTTTTTTTTCTAAATTTTAGCTTAAATTCATATTGTGAATGCTGAAAATTATATTATATTTAGTTCAAACTTACAGTATAAAAAAAGTAATTCAGATTTACATTGTGAATTCTGAAAGCTAAATTATATATAACTCGGATTTTCAATGTGAACAACTTCACTTATGAATTTTACAAAACTAAATTATGAATAATCAAAATGGAAAAATATTATAAAATTACAAGAAATATATTTCGATTCCCATGTAAAAAATGTGCACATTTTACACGAAAAGTGTATACATGCACAAAGGTAAGAAGTGTATATGTTCTTCAAAAATGTGCACACTTTACACGAAAAGTGTATACATGCACAAAGGTAAGAAGTGTATATGTTCTTCAAAAATAACTTTCATATGTGTATTTTTTTTTCTAAGATCTTTTTTTTCGAATGGATTACTATGTGACTAACTTAGTGTATTAAGTCACTTTGAAAAAGTCATACGAAAAAATTTTCAAAGTTCACATGAAAATATTGGTACGCAAAAAAAGATAATTAATTATTGTTTGTGGTTAATGTGAAAATACAATTCTAACAATAGTGATGAATTCTTGTTTTTGTTTATAAAATACCATTCAAACTATTATTTGGTTTTTTTAAATATCATTCTATTAATGGTATTTTGAAAACAAGATGATATATATATATATATATATATATATATATATATATATATATATATATATATATATATATATATATATATATATATATATATATATATATATATATATATATATATATATATATATATATATATAAAAGACCAAATGAGAACCACCTAAGGTTAAGAACTCTAAGAACCAATTATTTTAAGTTATAATTAATAGGGTTTTCATATTTTCTAATATTTTGATTTTTTTTTTTAATTTTGATAAATGTCCAAAAAGAAATAAGGATATTTTGGGCAACATCACTTCATCTTTCTAACGTAAACATCACCAGGCCATTCTTTCACCCGACTTCAAATATATCTTCATCTTTGCTGCTTCCTTCATTACACCATTCTTTCACCTGACTTCAAACATATCTTCATCTTTGCTTATTCCTTCATCAGATAACATCCACCATTTCCGCCACCCTTACCATCGACGACTTTGCTCTAGTGACTTACCACCGCTATCTCCTATGTCGACAACACCACCACCACCACCAACTCCTCCGCTGACTTTTATTACCGCCATAACTCACTACCTCTTTCTTTAATCCTCGGTAAATATCCATATCAACATCAGATCTTACTAGATCCACATTAGAAATCACCAGATCTACATCAGATTTGACTAAATCTACATCAGATCTTTGGTGAAACGTCCATCGTTGACTATATGGCAATTCTATTCGAGATTACGACATCACCATCGAACTTCTGACATGTACCACCTCCAGATGTGTCATCACCATCGTATCTTCACTACCCCTCCAGATCTGCTTCGCCTCTATAATTTTGTGTCGTTTCGTTGTTTATGCTCGTGATTCTAGATATGATTTCCTTCATATCTGGTTTAAAACCTTCATTTCTGATTTCCTTCATTTTCTCCACGTTTAAAACCTTTGAAGATTTTTTTTATTTGGATTTTGCTCTCCGTTTTGAAGCATGTTCGCAACTGAAACTCTAGCTGCCACAAGATCTAAAGAAATCTAACAGAGCTTTGGCAAGATTGAGACCAAATCTGAGACTATCGTCAATCGCCACCACTTTTGTTGCTTCGCCAATCTATTAAACACTGTCAAATATGTTCCATTTATTTATCTCTGATCTCTAGTGAAACACATCAGGTATGTCGATATTTGTTTACCTTTTTTTTTCTCTTTATGTTAAGTTGTGAATTTAATATTCTAATCTCTCATTTGTTGTTTACTTTTGTTAAAGATAATTTTTCCAACTATTAAGTTGTTAATCCATGTTTATTTTGTTATTTTTTTTATAATGTTTGCATCACATTTTTATTCACACTATATGTTTTATTGTTGTTAAGCTGTAAATTGAATTTAGAATTTGTGTTATTATGTTAATATTTTCTCAAATAATATGAATTTTGATCTTTTTTTAAGTTTTGAACCGTGATGTTTTAATATTTCAACTACTGTTTTGTTCTATTTAAGTTAGTTACTATGAATTTGTGAATTAATATGTTTTTATGTTATGAATACTATGAATGAGAGTCCTAAAATTATTATTTAATAGTGAATGAGAGTTCTGAAATGCTCGATTAAACTGTGAATTTGTGTGGTGTACACAATGTATCTAATGAAATGTTTTAACACAATCAATTATGTGTTAAGATGTAAATACTGTAAACGAGAGACCTAAATTTGTTTCATTAGATTGTGAATTAAAGTTTTGAAATATAACTTTTAAGTTTAGAATATGGTCGTGAATGTATAAATTTTTGTATAAAACTTTGAATTTATCATATTAAGCTATGAATTTTATGTATTAAATTATAATTTGACTATATTAAACTATGAATTGACTGTAGTAAACTGTGAATTGATTATATTAAGCTGTAAATTTTTCTATTAATTTTTTGTTTGCTTCCAAAATATGAGATGAAAGAAACATTATACACATTTATGATTTAATCTAATTTTAGATAAAACATATAAAATTTAAATTGTGATTATTTGTGTAAATAAATTTTGAAAAATACAATAACATATAGATCCGAAGGTATACATGTAAGTTTTAAGTTGAGAATATGGTTGTGAATGTGTGATTTTTGTGCATTAAACTGTGAATTTATTATATTAAGCTATTAACCGAACTATGAATTGAATGTATTAAGTTGTTAATTTTTTTTAATGAACTTTGTGTATGTAAGAATGTATTAGTGTTTACAATTATTTTGTATTAATTAAATTATGAAATTAGTATTTAAGCTGCAAACTAATGATTATATATACAGATCTGATTTGTAAGAAATGATGATTGTAATGTTAGCACGAGTGATTGGTGGTGGTCGGGGAGTTTGAGTTTGACTTCTTTAAATATGTAAATTAGTGTATAATGAATTATATTATCTTGTGTTGTGAATTTGATGTGTAAACTAAAAATAGATTGTATTAAGTTGTATATTTTATATAAATTTTATGATAGAAAATGAATGAAGGTATGCATGAAAATATTAAATTGTATATTAGTAAATTGTTATGTTTATATTAAACTGTAAATATTATATTTTAAACTGTGAATATTTTTTATACACCATATATTTTATAAATAAACCTACAATTTAGAAAAAGGAAATTGATTTTTTCAAGACATAATTCTTTTTTATTTTTACAAAATTTTTTGTATATTTTGGTTGGAAAATAAAAACTTACCAAAGAAATTAGAGCTACAATGTTTTGTTCTATTAAGTTGCGAATACAACCAAAAAATGCTATTGAATTTGCTGTTAGTTCGGTGACGGTCCAACGGTGATCAGACAATAAGTGACAAGTAGTTTGTAAACTAAAGAGTGGAAAAGTTTGTTTAATATAATATAAATGTTGAATTTGTTCAAAATATCCTTAATAAAAACATTTTAAAAAATGATTCTTACAATTCTTAACATTTTTTTTTTGTTTTCATTTGAACGTCTCTTTTTCTTTCTTTCTTTCTCTCTCTCTCTCTCTCTCTATATATATATATATATATATATATATATATATATATATATATATATATATATATATATATATATATCATCTCAAAAGATGGTAAAAATAGTAAAATAGTGTTATGAAAAAAAAACAAATGAACCAGCCTGCATCAACACACCAAAATAAATCGAATTTTGTGTTGGTTTTTTAAAGGACGTTTACTGTTCATTATATTTTTGCAGGGGTCCAAACTGAAAAGTTTCCTTTTCATTAAGGGCGTGTTTGGTATGGAGCTTTTGGAAGTGTTTGGGAGCTTCTAGCTTTTAGCTTTTGACAAAACGCTATAGTTTAAACAAAAAGCTTCGTTTGGCAGTACGAACGTTTAGCTTTTAGTTTTAACAAAACGCTCCGATTCTAAAAGATATTTCATCTAGCTTTTAACAAAACGCTCCGGAGCTTTTGAAATCAATTTCCATAATTACCCTTAAAAATATATTTATATATTTTTTTATTTTTAATAAATTGTCCTTTTATGTAATTTTATATATTTCAAAAGCTTCCAGCTACTTTTGCCAAACATTCATATAACAAATAAAAGATATAGCTTCCCGCTACCAGCTACCAACTACACGCTACCAACTACCCACTACCAGCTAACCGCTACCCGCTTTCAGCTAACAGCTACTTTTACCATACACACCCTAAGCTTTTCTCTTCCCCACTCACATATTCACACACCTAGTAAAAAGGCACTTGGTACTCTCTCTCCTCAAACACCTAGTAAAAAAGCTCTAAGTATCCCCTCTCTCTCTCTCTCTCTCTGTCCACATTATTATAGTCTCTCTCTTTCTCTCTGTCTACTCTCTCTACCTTTCTTCATTCGGTATGGTAAAAATCTGCTGATTTTCCCTCATTTTCTGAGATGTTGCAGGCTCTAACTGCGATCGGTAAGGTATTATTGCTATATTTATACATACATATTCCTAAATGAGCAACCTTACTTTTTTGCTTTATTTCCATATAAATTTTTTGCAACTGGTTATAGATGTGGAGTACGAAACAGATTTGAAGATGATATCTTAATTCTGATTTCTGTACAGTTGAAGTTTGGTGGGTGTTTTCGATTGCGGAAACCCTAGCTGTTCGGATTTAGTATGAACAGTTGTGTGGTTTGAAAAGGGGAAGCGATTCAACGGTGTGTTTTTAATGATTATAGTTTCCGGTTTGGGTGAAGTAAGTGCTGTTTGATTTTTGATCTGAAAATATCCAAAGATAGGAAGAATAATGATAGTAAACTAGTTTCTTTAATACTTTGGTTTTGGAAAAGCGAATGAACGAATGAACTGGTTAGATGGATAGATAGATTTGTGCTTGGGAAAAGCAAATAATTTTTTTTTCTATAACTCACTCTTTTTATTACCTTTACATCTCTACTGTGAAAGTGAAAATGACATTTCCACGTCATGTGGGGAACGATCCTCATCGACTCCGCTTGCCCTTTTTCGCATTTTAATTGGGGACATCATTATTTTCATGCAACTTTAATTTACTATTATCATGCCGGGAGAAAAGAAACGATGTTTCTTCTTGTTTCATTTACTAACATTGATTGATGACCTTTTTAATGAAATTGCCTTTTTTGTTTGGAACAAAAGCTATACGGTTTGCAAGAATGAGCGATTTTTAGATAGATTAGAAAACAAGAATATCTATAAATAATGAGTTATTTGTAACGAAAAGTCATTCATAGTAATAGTATCATCATCTGTATAGTTGAAAAAGTTGTTTTGTAGCTAGATTCCAGGGACAAAGATCCAAATTGTGTGGGCTCTCTGTAACTGAATGAACATCTATAAATCACTACTACTGTTGGGGTCCTCTTTACTGTGTACTTGGCATATGCTGTCTGTATGGCAAAAAGTTTTCTTCCATGTATTTCAATTATTGGGCTTGAGTCAAGACTTTGAGGGATTCATAATTGAATTTAAATGTTTTAATTGTTTTGCAGATATAAAAGGTATTTGCATTCCATGAAATATTCAGAGGGCCAAGTGAAAACAGAGGAATTAGTTTCCAGACATGGAGTGGAATACAAAGTGGGACTGGGAAAACCATGAAATATTCAGCTCAAAAGTTATGGCAAGCCCTAAAAAGCTACACACCAACTACGAAGAGGATGTGGATGGATCTTTTAATCTTTCCGGTGTTGTTGGTGGCAGCGGAGGCTCCGCCTCTGACATGGGGAACAGCTCCATATCGGCTTCAACCGAATCATCATTCAAGGACGGAAATGGAAACGGAAACGGAATCGGAATCAGAGTTTCCAAATTCCCATTCCAGGGTTTCGCAGGCTTTCCCAACTCTTCGAAGAAAGAATTTGAGTCGCCTCCGCCATCAGTTAGCTCTGGCGAACCCTTCATCGGTTTAAAACTCGGGAAAAGGACATACTTTGAGAACAACAACTCAAAAACATCATCTTTCTCTGATATACCTATTTCATCGGTTTCTACAGTCAAGAAAGTCAAATCATCATCATCATCATATTCCCAAGCGACCCCTACCCCACGCTGTCAGGTTGAAGGATGCAATCTTGATCTCTCATCTGCCAAAGAATATCATCGGAAACATCGAGTTTGTGAAAGTCATTCCAAATCTCCCAAAGTTGTAGTCGGTACCCTTGAACGCCGCTTTTGCCAACAGTGTAGCAGGTGATGGATGAAATTCACAATTCCATTCCGGGGTCCATTTCGTCTGATAAAATTTTCTTATTTCAATCATTGATTTGCATGCACAGATTTCATGGTTTGTCGGAATTCGATGAGAGGAAGCGAAGCTGTCGCAGGCGTCTTTCCGATCACAATGCAAGGCGCAGGAAACCACAGCAGGAGACCATTCAATTCAATTCAACAAACATGTCTTCATCATTTTATGGTACATCTCATGCTTTTTTTTTTTTGTTTTTTTTAATTATCGTTTTCGTTTTGGTTGATTTTATAGATGATATTGAAAATGGTTTTTAGGTGGGAGACAAAATTTGAGTTTCGTTTTAAACAATGGTGGGCCTCTGGTTCAAAGTAGACCGCCTGCTGTAAGTTCAACATGGGAAAATTCATCTGTCAACATGCCTACTACTATTGGTTTCAATAGGTCCGTGCCATTGAAAGCCACCAGAGTCGAGGCTCTTGATCAAGGTTTGATTTACATTTTTTTTAAAATTTAAGACTAAATTATAACTTTTTCCCCAGTGTTTTTTTTTTTTTTTTTTTTTTTTTGTTGTCTCTGTTCCAAGTAAAATATAAGTTTTAATTATATTCAAGAGAGCTTTTTGGGACCGAATGTGCAAAAAGTATATATAGAGTCAGAGTGATATTACTTGGAACGGAGGCCTAAACATTAAAACATAAGTTTTAATTATAAAAAATGTTGCAGGTTTTAAGGAGTCATTGAGTCCTCCAAATGTAGACGCGCTCGATATTCGTCGTGCTCTCTCTCTTCTGTCAAACAACACGTGGGGTGTATACGAGTCGGATTTAGCTGCGGTGGAGCAGCATCACAATCACACGCACATGGGCACCGGCAATCCAATCCAACATGGGATGCAGTCTGTTCCCCAACTGCCACCGGAGGAGGAATACTGGCGGCAGCCTGAGCCGCCCATTGATGCCGCCGCCAAAACAAGCAATTCCATTTCCACCACTCAATTCCAAGACTTTCAGCTTTTTAATCGCTTCTATTCCAATCCAATTCCAATGGATGAAATCTATGATGATTCTTCCATATCCAAATTTAAACTTGTTTAGGTGCTCTGCTCATTCTTAGGGCTTCCCATGCCTTGCCCTGCCCTTATTAATAACAAAGTCAGCAGGGGTGGGGTTCCGTACAACTGTCTATTCACATATGTTTTGCTTGTATTCATTTTGCATTTCTTGACACGTGTAGTGTAGTATAATGTTGATGTATGGGATTTTACTTGCTGCTATTATATCCATCCATGGTTATTGTTTGGAGTTTTTTTAGTTCTGTGGGTGGGGGCCACTTACCGACTGTACCTATGGTGTATGTTATCATATGTTATATATGTACATCGTCATAAATACATGGCTCCAAGTACATGAGCCATGAGGTGAAGAGTATGGGGTGGGGGTAGGTGCTAAAAATTCACTTATTGAAGACGATGAATGACGATGATGGTAAGAAAGAGTGGTAGGGTAGTGACCACCCTAACAATGTAATGTGGTGGTCCTTGATCTTGAGTTGTTGTATGAGGGCTGCAAGCAAGCTGTTTCAGACGGACCTTTGATATCGACGGCCTATCAATACTTAATTTGTCTTAAATGAAAAGGCCAAACCTTGGAATTGGCATGACTATAGGTTTTAGTAGCTTTTTTTATTAAAAAAAAAAAAAAAAAGACTTTGGATTAATAATTTTGCAACAACTTTTTGTGTTCATACCTGATACCTCTTTAGTTTGGTTTGGGTCAACAAACTAAACCACAGCTTTGATTTTTAGACCAAACCCATCATCAAGCTTTCTAAAGTATGATTTTGGTCTTTCAAACTTTTCTTTGATTCAGAATTCTACTCTTTTAACATATGTAGAGCATCTATACAGTTAAAATTACCAAAGGGCTTCTATTTAACTGCATCCAGGGTTGTTTTTTTTTCCTTGAGGTTGAGGATTCAAACTTCATCATACACATATGTGGAATTAGAAGTACATGATATTATTCTGCAATGAATTTTATATGTATATTTTTATATTAGTATTCTAACAATGAATAAATAAAACCTTACGGGTTAAAACTAAAATTAAAATTTACTATAAAAATACACATAAATAAATTTATAACCGAATAATGAGATTATAATTAATATATGGATAATCAAAAGTTAATATTAATATTAAATTTATTTCAACAATACAAATATAACGTTCATTGCAAAATAATAATAATAATATAAACATAATGTTTTTATGTTTTCATACTATTTATTGTTTTTATTTGAGTTTCACTATATATATATATATATATATATATATATATATATATATATATATATATATATATATACTCTTAATCCATCAAAAAAACAATACAAGTATACATAAGATAAATGTTAGAAGAAGTTATGAAACTCCTTCTAGAGGTCTAATAAAAAACACATACATTCGAATTACATAGATGTTAGTGATAAATTCCAAAATGAAAAATAATATGATTTTAAAAGCAATAAGAAGCAGCTAACATTGAAAGAAAATTATATTTTTTAATCAAAATAAAATCAATTTAGATGCCTTTATATGACAGCCACATATTCACTTGTAAATATATATAATCTAGAGATTTTTATGCTGCTGTTCTAAAAAAAATCTAGAGATTTTTAGTAAATTAGTTTTTTCATTAACTTGTAAATGTATGGTTAATAGAGGCGAAAAGAAAAGGCAAGTGAAACCAAACCCAAGGGGTTTTCCAAGTCAAACTAATTTTGGTTTGGTTTTGGTTTTAGTGAAAAGCGTAAAACCTAACCATGTGCACCCTATTAATACCGAGGCGAGTAGAAACCAAAGTTTATCAGCGTTCATTTCAGCCACAGCCAGTCAACCAAGCAAATGTGCCAAGCATAACAGCCGTCCTTTTGGTTTACTTTTGGATATCAACAAAACAATTACACGGGTCAAAATGTGTAGAAAATAAATATTAAAAGATTTTGTTTTATATATATATATATATATATATATATATATATATATATATATATATATATATATATATATATATATATATATATATATATATATTAATGTCCCTCCGTAGGCTACACTATAAACAAAGACCAGGTTAGATAGTTATGAGTAATTGATAGGTCCCTGATGAACTATCTATCAAATTAACAGCAGCACCGACGCACATGACAAAAACTTGAGCAGCTTTCCAGCAAAAAGAAAGCTAAAGCTCTGCTTGGGGTGGGGACCACTACGTCATTTAGTCTAGGGTTAACCGTGGTCCAACAAACACATACACCACTGTGTACCAAAAACAGACACCTAATAAAGACAAAGACAACCCTAACTGTTAATGCAGAATCAACAATAATAATAATAGTAATAACAAGTATACACATCCAGCCACCTCTTACCCCCACCCAAACAACTGAATCAGTTTGTTAAGACCATAAACTTCAGGGTTTTATATATAAATAAATAAACTATAAGAATTTAACAAAACACAAACCACAGTAACTGAAACTCAATAACATAACCGCAGCAACAGGAAGGAAGGAACACGACATGAATGAGAATGACTCACTTTCAGACCCGACCCGACCCGACCCGACCCATACTGAGACTGAGCAACTCTTGACCTACTCACTGGAACAAAAATTATTAAGTCAGAAGGATCACCACTCACATCACATATCAGTAAATTACATTTTTACCCGCTTGCTTTTTGCAATTTTCGTCCTTTTTGCTCCTTGTTCCAAGTAATATATATATATATATATATATATATATATATATATATATATATATATATATATATGACTATGCTTTTTCAGACCACAATCATCCATACTCAGGGACAGGACCAAAACTCTAGTTATTTTACTTGGAATTGGAACAAAAAAAAGGCGACAAAAATTGCAAAAGAAAACTTTCAGGGACCAAAAATGCAAGTTACTCGCCAAGCAAGATTAAAAGCAGATCAGAGAAACAGAAATGGTAAAGGGTAAAAAATGACTAGCAACAATTTTCGCTTTACATTCATAGTATAGTATAGTACCAAAAATAAAACCGCTTTATTTAACCAAAAGAACAACTGGATTAAGCATCTGACAAAACAGACCTGATCATTGCCTTCTACTTCTTCTTCTTCTTCCTCTTCTTCTTCAGGGAAATTTTGGGATTCTGATGGTTTTTCAGCATCACAGTTCTGTCTGTTACATTTTGTCCTAAACGGATAATTTATGTTGTTACATTTCTCACACTTCCAGCTCCCCTCAGGCATATCTGTTTCACAAAACAATAAATATATAAAACATATATCCAACCAAATGTATCCGTAGTATACATATGTATGTATTACTTACTTGAACTCTTGCCTGACTTTCCACCCTGCATATTAACCCACCATTTAATAAAAATTAATTAAATAGTCAGGAGACATTATATATATCTTATATGTAAAAAATATAAGATTTGTCAAAAACCTGAGATCCTGGCTTAGGTGTATTGCATTTCCTCATGTTACAAACTGTTCTAAAAGAGAAATTCACATTTCCACATTTTGGGCATGCCCAGTCATTTTCTCGTGTACCATCTGAATTTCCAAGTAAAATAAGAACATTTAAAAAAAAAAAAAAAAAAAATATTGTTTCATCATCACACACAATTATAAGTATAACATACCTTTCTTTTGAGGTGTCTCTTCTGGGAAAAATCCAGGTCGTGGTCCCTAAGATGATATAAACATTATCATAAATAAAATTTTGTATTTTAGAAAAATTAAAGATTTCAACACATACCATGGGCAACCCTAGACCGTATCGATCCATCAACTGAGGTACACCATACATGCCGTTCCCTATGATGGGCCCACCAGGATACGAGGGGGCAGAGAGGTGCATGGGTCGATAAGGGTTTCCTCCGCCAGAAAGGCGGTGGTTGTTATAGTTGTAATAGGCGGAGCCACCAGATAATGGGACATCATAAGGAGACATAGAGGTTCCATTGAATAAAGATGAGCCATAAGGCATGTACATTGATGATGGTGCACCAGAATTTGCATAAGGAGATGATGAAGAGTAGCCATGCCCATGCCCATGCCCATGCCCCTGTGGTGTCAGCATTTGCCTTGGAGCAGATTTCTGCAAATCAACAACTCTTTTACCTCTTTAGTTTGATGCCATAAACAACAGTTTCTACTTGTAGAATGTGTTTACTGTTTAGTAAGTAACTTACTGAATTATGATCAGCTGGTCTAGGCTGCGTACAGTTGCGCATATTGCAAGTTGTCCTAAAAGAGAAGTTGACATTCCCACAGCTGGGACAGGTCCAGTCATCTTCCCTACGACCACCTGAAATCATATATTATACACATCCAATACAGACCAGAATTTAGGATTCATCACAATGTTGAAACAACTGTGAATACAGGGATGAAACTTGCATCTCAAAGTAGAAGGTTTCTTTTTTTTCAAAAAGATAGGAGCTTAAAAACTGCGGGTGGATCTTGGAGCTCAAATTTAATATATATTGGAGAAACATTTGTTCAAAGTTTAAACCAAGCTAGCTGGTCAATCAATACAGAAACGGCTAACAGAATTAAGTGAAGAACAATAAACTAAAAAGCAATTAGCATGATAGATTATGAACTGAGCATACCATCGGTTCTAGCTCTTTTGACGGCGGAGGAGTTTCTGTTATCCATCTAAAACCAGAAGATAATGCAAATTATTATTATTATTATTAACAAGGTATACAAATAAGTACTTGAGGAGAAACCCTTATGAATTTATGATCCATGTTAGATCAATGATGAAAGCGATGATAAGGACTGGAGTGCATAAATTCGATAACGTATAAAACAGATAGAGTTCGAAATGTTTGTTGGCAGGTAAAGAACATCAAATTTCATAACCAAACCCTATTTTCCATGTCCGGTGAAGGAGAAAGGTGATACAAATCAAACAAAACAAGAGTTGGAATGAAGAAAAAAGATTAATAGATAATAAATCAATCTAATTAGGCAGGCTTAGAGAATGATTTTACTTGAGACATGGCGAATGGCGACGGCTGGAGGAGAAATTCGTCGAATCGACCGTGAAAAAGCAGACGAGATCCGGAGAGAGGCGAGAAGCGGAGTGTTTGTGTTTGTGATAAACCAGCCAACCACTGAACTGACTCAACCAGGGCCAGGGATCAGGGACCCAGGGTGTGAAAATATATTTGAAGCCCAATTTTGCTAAGGAAAAGCCCGGCACCCAATCATAAGTTCATACTTCACAACATCCAAAGTCCGATCCAATTACATTTTACAATGCTTTTTAGCCATTTCATCTAATTTATGATCGAATCATTCTAGTTCATCATTTGTTGAAATTTATAATTGTTTTGACTTTTGATCAAACGGTAATATATCAGTTCCGTGTTAGTATTTGACTCTATTATAAACTGAAATTTTATATTTTTATGCTTCTGAGCTTATAAAAAGTATTGAATACTGGGATTTATGTATAAAACAATTAAACCAATGCAGTTTGTTTAAATTTAATCTTTTTCGTATCAATCGTATTCTCCTTCAAGTTCGTTAGAGATTCTTAACATTTGTTAACATCCATGTCCAAGACATATTTGATACCTCTGAAATATCTAGTTTTCCAAGTTTTAATTGCTTTTACACTATGTAGATCGAATTAGTACCGGATCATGTTCTTAGTTTCACATTCTTGTTTTATGTAACATGTGATATAGTTTAACAAATACCTAAGGTAATCTATATTGCTTGTATGGTATTATAGTTGATCCAATAGGAAACAATTAGGTAAGATTTATGGAACATAAGTATTATCCAATAGAAAACAGTTAGGTAAGATTTATGGAATATAAGTATTCTAAAGATCATAATTTTTTTTTTTTAAAAATTGATCATTCAAGAATGGTCCATTCTTTTCTATCAGACAATACAAACCGCTTTTCTTCATTCCTATTGGAATGAATTGTTCCATTCCTTCTGCGATTCGTCATACCAACTTTTCCCTTAATATCGAAAAATTAAGGATATTGTAGTGATTTGTTTTATTCTTTATTATATAATTTCACAATATGACCAGTTTATTGTCATTATTCATCATTATTAACTTATATACCCTTAAAGATATATTTATGATAGATTTTTCGGTGTATATATTTCAGGTTATTAGTTTGACTATGTCTTTGATTTGACAAATTTGAAGTACCCTTAAATTGGTTCAGGTTCCAATTCCAGAGGATGGAGTAAGTATTTCTTCTAGTCTTCAATTATTTATTTATTATTTTATTTTCTAAGGATTTTGTTCTTGTAACATGTATCTACAAACCAAGCGGTTGGCAAATTACCCTTGAATCCAGGGCCTTCAGCATAAAAGGTGGAAAAAAAAAACTCAAGTTTGTTTTTCCATATAATATTATATATTTAGAAATGTCAAAATTACTAAAAGTGTGTGTTTTCTAATGGTCAAAAGTGTCTAAATGTAAAAAATAGCATTCTACTCTCATTTTATTTTGTTTCATAACAATCTAGTTCCATTTTGATTTTTAAAAGGGTTAAGCATAAAAGTAAGTTGCTAGTTTTCAATTTGAAAGGGCTAAGCCTAAATGTAAAAATAATAATCTATTTTCATCTGGTTTATTATCATAGCAATCTACTTTAATGATAGGTGTAGCACCTGGTTCCTAGTACGTAAATCTTATTTGAGTATTCTCTTTCTTTTTGCCTTGGACTCAGCGAGTCATAGGTCAGACTCGCCGAGTAAGGACGGGACCCTGGACATGTTTAAGTTGGCGACTCGACGAGTCACCGCTGTTGGATGAAACCCTAAGTTTCAGGGGTTTGCACCCTATTTAAACAGCATATCCGCCCCAGGCCAGCCCCCATTCACCCCCAGAGCTCCCAACTCTCGTTCTAAGCTTGTTCCTTGAGAGTTTGAGGCTTTTGTGTGTGTCCTTGAAGGTTTTGAGGCAAAAAGGGGAAGTAGATCAAGAGGAAGGGAAGGAATCCAGGCATCCTTGCACTCTTTCCGCAGTTCTTTTGAGGTATAATCCGTCTTTCCCCTGTTTCTATGCTTATTACTTCATGTAAGTCATTCTTGAGCCAATCCCCAAGTTGTATGTGCAAATTATCTCGTAATAGGCTGATTGGCCCTTAGATCTAGGCATGGTTGAGCTCCAGGAGCTCAGATCTGTTGCCTTTATGGACCCTCATTGCATGAAGACCCTAGATCTACCCTCTTGAGTACATTTTGAACCCTAAAACCCTCATGGGTGAATATCTACACGTAAAGTTGGAAACTGTACGTGTGATTCGTGTTCTAGAAGTCCAGATCTGTGAATGACATGGACTGGAATCGAGCAAATCTGTGTATTTAGTGGGTGCATGGCAACGACTCGGCGAGTCGCTCATGTGACTCGGCGAGTCTGCTCGCGAGTCTCCGAGTTTGTCCCCTTTTCGTAGTGTCGAGTGTGCAGTGAGTCGCGGGGTGTGACTCAGTGAGTTGGCAGTTGAACTCATCTATGGAGGAACTCGGCGAGTCGATTCCCTGACTCGGCGAGTTCAAGGCAATCTCCTTAGATCAAGAACAGACTCGGCGAGCTGTTCATACAACTCGGCGAGTCTCTGCATAAGTGTTCATCGGATGAAGATGAACTCGACGAGTTGTTCTTACAACTCGGCGAGTAGGATGAAGGACTTGAATATCAGTTTAGAAGAAGAACTCGTCGAGTCATAGCCTAACTCGACTAGTAGAAACGGGACTCAGGACAATCGTCTGGATAGGGACTCGGTGAGTTGGAGAGCCAACTCGGCGAGTCGGGTCGACTGAAAGTTGACTCTGACTTTGACTTAGGGCTTGACCAGGGGTAAAATGGTCATTTTACCCAAAGGACAGTTACCAGTGTTTGATTGAGTATGTTGTGGGAATCGCAGCCGGAGGATTTCCGGAGCAGTAGCAGCAGCAGTCAATCAGTTCCCGATCAGTTCAGCAGCTACTTTGAGGTGAGTTACCTTCCAGTAGCGGTGGGTCTACGGCCACAATGTCGGCCCACCAATAGGAGTCGTATGTTAGATGATTGTCTTTGTGATATCATCTTGGTTGCTACTACCTTTATGTTATATGCTAGCATGATACGTTATATGTGATAGTAGTAGAGTTCGGTTGTTAGGACCGAAGGGTAGTCAGACACCCCAGAAATGTCTGACAGTATGTGATGATATGTTTGCATGCTGGCCTGTTATGTTATGCGATAGAGGTAGTAGGAGGGGACCAGTCCCCGATGATCAGTTGTTAGGACCGATGGGTAGTCAGCACCCCAGAATGGCTTGACATGCGTAGTCAGCACCCCATAATGGCTTGACACGGGTAGGACGGCACCCCAAAATGGCCGTATGGGTAGGTCGGCACCCCAGAATGGCCGTACCGGGTAGTCAGGCACCCCAGAATAGCCTGACAACATGTATGTTATGTGTTTGTATGGTATGTGGTACGATGGGGGAACTCACTAAGCTTTGTGCTTACGGTTTACAGTTTTGGTTTCAGGTACCTCTTCTTCAAAGGGGAAGGAGCTGGCGCGGTAGCGGCACATCATGCACACACATTGGTTTCCGCATTTACGAGATTCTCTAGGAGTTGTACTCTGATATTTTGATGGGTTGTATGACTTCACTTTTAAACATGGTCTACGTTGTGTTATGGTTTGATTAAACAATGTTTTTAACTGTTGGTGTTTTTCTAAGTAATGTTTTTAAAACAAAAATTTTTAGACGTGAAAATTGGGTTGTTACAATAGGGACCAACTATTTTATGATGGTGTTGGAGGACATGATTATAAAAAGGAGATTATATGGATTTGGCTCATATGGCAAGTGCATTCGTTCTAGTAAAGGGTTCTTCAGAAACGTATGTTTGCCGGATAATAAAGCCGGTAAAGAGCGTACCAAGACAAAAGTCGAGGTTGAAAAAACTGAAGAAGTTAGTTAAGATGCAACGCAAACAATATGAGGATATTAAACATAAATATGAGGATGTTCAACAAAAATATAAGCATGCTCAATAAAAGAATATGAAGATTCAATAGAAAAATGTGGATGCTCAAACAAACTTTAAAGAACAACTTGCACAAACAATGAATGTTATTTAACACTTTGAGTGACTAGGTCAAAACTATTATTAAACAATGATAGAATTTTATGTATCAAATAACGTTTTATGTTTAATTTGTAGCGACTTTTGATTTTGAAATATGTATCTTTTTGATGTATTGGGTATATTTTTTTAGTTTTTATAGAAATACTTGTCACTATTGGTTTTATATTAATTGTATTTTTATAAATTGATGTAACTAGTCGAATTGAATAACTGAATTTTATTGAATAATGGTATAGAAAAATTGCTACGAAATTGGCTATAGAAAAATTGCTATGGAATAATCGCTATGGAATTTGCTACAGAAATATTACTACCGAATTGGCTATTGAAAAATTGTTATGAAATTGGCTACGAAAAAATTTCTACGAAATTTACTACGGAAAAATGCTACGAAAAACTTGGTACGGAAAAATTGTTACATAATTAGCTATGGAAAATTCATTGTGGATTTGCTACAAAAACATTGCTACGAAATTTGTTACAGAAAAATTGTTGCAGAATTTGCAACGAAAATGTTATGGAACTTAAATTGCAACGAAATAGATATCGAAGAAACTCTCATAGCAAAATTGCTACAGAATTATAATTCAGTAGCTAAATGTTTTGCTACAAGAAATATAGCAATGAAGTCTAATTGAAAGTTTGTGTAGCAAATTTAGCTACGAAATTTTAGCTTTTTGCTATGGAATTTTTTCATAGCTAAATTGAAATTTTCTTGTAGTGCACAGTGAGTCTTGTGGTCTGGCTGACCACGACTGTGGTTCGTGCATAAAAGCCCGAACCATCGTGGTCCTCCGCGCTAGTGGCCTTCAGTGGTGAGCATCACGAATCGAAATGACCAATGGGGTTGGATTGCTCACTTGAAGGATCGAAACTGAGAAAAAGAGCTCATGCAAGCTGATTTTGTTTTTTGCTGGGGAAGAAAACACTTGACAACTTTGATCACTGAGTGAGGTTCATTGATAGAAAACACTCCTAATCAGAAATCCATTAACATGTATAGTTTCTAAAATGACAAATTAAATCTTAGATTTATATTTCCTAATTAATTAAATAATTTAATTTATTTAAATTATTATTATTATTAAATCGCTTATTTGTATAATAGTATTTAAAAAAATTATATGTTTTTAATATATCTTTTGAATTACATTTAATTAAAAAAATGAAACAAAAAAAAGATAGAATGATGTATTTAATGTCATTATAAACCTAAATATAAACAAAATAAAAAATTCATATTACACTGTCTTTTCCTTAAAAATAAAAAAAGGTTCACTAAATGACCAAATAAATATATCTAGATAGGGGTTAGCTGGTGGGAACGGGTCGCTACTTGTTGTGGGTAGTCAATACATGGTGTAGGTAGACCATGTGGACAGCCTAGATGAGGTGCAGATACGTATGTTTGACTAGCGTGTGGTGTAATCTACAACAAACTTTGTTATCAATTTCCAAGTCCAAAAAAATTATATTATAATTGTACCTGTCTTTTTAATATTACTTGGAATATAAAAAAAATTCTTGAAGCTATTGATCAAGTACAACATAATAAATTACTACAACCTCAATAAAAGATATAAAAATGTTTCTGGTATGCATAAAAACAAAATCCGACACAGATCATGAGCTTATCTCAAATTAAAACCGTTTATTTAATATAAATTAACATAAAACATGAGTAGAGAAACAATGGCGGATCCTAGGAACATGGGTGCTTCATACTTGAACCCATGTGAAGGGGATGTAGATGTTGACGACGTCGTTCCTCCTGCTGTTGGAGAAGTGGTGGGTGTAGTAGTTACATTACTGAAGATTGCTGCGTCAGGTGAATTTGGTGGTAACTTTAACAGCTCTGCATGCCAGATCAATGAAAACAAAATTAAGTTACTTAAAAACTAGTTTAATTACTATCATACTGTAACAAACTATAATTAAAAAAAAAAAAAAAAAAGACAAAACATAAAAACAATAGCCAAATTTTAAAAAATTTGGACACTGGCTCCATATATAAAAACAATTTTTTCCACATTGGGTTCATTTTTACCATAAATTTCTTTTCAAAATATGTTTCAATCCAAGACTTTGTAGTTCAAAAAAGAGCCGCTCTACTGATTTTTTTTTGTGGTTTCACAATCCATAATGTTATCTTTTTTTCGAAACAACATTGTATTAGGCATTTCGCAGTGTTTTCAGTATTTCAGAGTTTACCCTGCAAAATTGATGATTATTTAAGATATTTCTTAAATATTTGGCTAATTTTTATGGAAAAAGCTAAAAAGATTTTTCTATTTTTGAAAGGCGTAAGAAATAAAGATAAAGTTGATGTGATGTGAGGTATAAATGGGGTATATATAGCTATATATAGCCTAGAGCTATAATAAATTCAATTAAGATCTACAACCACTACCAACCTTCAGACTTTGTCAAATTGCTCACTAGTCCTACTTTCAGTACATATATGCAACTGATATCATGTTCATGTATATCCACATTAAATCTCATAAACGTTCACTTGTCGGTTTCGTTGAGTTTTATTTTACCCTTCTTTTTTAAACAATGGAGCATAAAATTTTGTAACTGGACACTTCAAATTTTATATTCCTTTCCAATTTTTACCATGCACGGAGGAGTATAACAACCCAAAATATATACAAGATTAAAGAAGGTCCATGCATGCACACCCATATAGATCACAGAATTTGGGAAAAATTGGTATCGTTGTGATATATATGGTGCAGCGAGTGATTGATAATAAAATTAACATGATTCAAACTTGATCCATCGAAAATTATTCCACCCACGATATCAGATCAGATCAGTCTCAAAAGAATGAAACTAATTTGGAAAACTGAATAATAATAATTACCTTATTTTTTTACATTGTCGAGGTACTTGATCGGTTTAGCGCTTCAATTATGTAAAGATATATTCAAAATCAATATCGTCACTCTACGTTTTTGGTGTAATTTGTGCATTCATGTGTGTGTTAAGAGTGAATATAATTAGATACTGTTTCATTGTTCATCAATAAAATAAAATGCTGAGATAAAAAACGAAAGGTAAAAGTAGTAGAGAAGGACGGATAAATTACTTGGACAATCGCTGATACTTGCACCAGCAATTTTACAAGCAGAAGGCAGCTGAAGAAGACGAGCCTCTTGAATATTCATGGACTTAAGCGCCGGATTGGTTCCGTTATGGATCTGCTGTATCAGAAAACACAAACACGCCGGATTACTCTCTTTCATCTCCGTCACCGAATCACAACACTTCTTCTGCGGCGTCGACTCTTTCCCTGACGCAAACGCAACACATGTCATCACCTCCGGTAGCTTCGAAGCACACTGGTCGGCTAACGACTGCGCCGAACCACCGATTCCGCTCCCGCATATCACGATACAAACCACCGTAAACAAGCTCAAACAGTAATTTCTCATCGCCATTGTGAAAAGTACTGATAGTAGCTTTGTGTTTTTTGAGGATTTATAGTTGAAATGGAGACAGGATTAGGATTGAGGTTGGGGTTGGGGCTGGTGATTAATGAGGGGCAGTTGGGTGTGAGGTGTGAACTATGGAGTTAATGTCTGCGAGGAAAAGTATGGTGATGGCAGATGCAGGGAGGCGCACTTGTCTGGTTGCGTTTAATGAGTTTTGGTTCGTGGAATTAGGGATAACGGTTCGCTACTCGATGGCAATCGTAACGGAAATCGTCACAATCACAATTTTATAATTCAATTTCAAACGCACCGACATCAACACCTTGCACAGTCGGCAAATTCTCCCTCCTTTCTCTTGCAACCAACCCCCCCTACATATCCTCCGTGTCTTTTTGCTAAGTTTTATAAGTTCATTACATTTACTTTTTGTTATACATTACCTCCTTCCACCGTAACACCATCCTCTACGCCCAACGTAGAGCCGATGCAAAATGGGGAATTCTGAGGCTACGTTCAATATTAGCCAAGATTACGTCCAATGTAACTCTTAATACTCAAGGACTAACCATCCAATTCTCATATATGGACCTAATGAACGTCCTAAGGGGTAAAGTCTCTTGACTTTACACATTTGCATGGGTAAAAAGAACACAAGACCCAACCTTAAGTCCATAAAACACTCTAATGCTCAAGAGCTCATGCATTGATGGATGGGAGTGATCAAGCTCCCATTTTTATGACTGACCAAATGACTGGAAATGATGCTCATAAGGTCTAGAGTAGTTCATACTCATTAAGACCAAAGTTATGGGACAAAAGCATAAAAACTTATGGGCAACTAGATGAATCATAAAGGAACATCAAGATGCAGACTTTATACCTTATAGAGGTGGATGATGAAGTCCAAAGTTTGGATCTACAAAGCTTGGAGCTCACATAAGTTTCTTCAGTTGACTTATTCTTCATTAATGCATACAAAAACACATTAAAGCTCAAGAACTCTCACAAGATGGCAAGGGTTTCGAGCTTACTGAATATGAGGGTGGAGGCTGAACTTGGGGAGGCTCTCAAGGAGTTAGAGCCTTTAAATAGAGCTCACAACCCTTCAATTAGGGTTTAGATGTTACGCTCCTACGCCCAGCGTATATATCTCTACGCCCAGCGTAGAGCATTTAAAACCCTCGCATGGAAATTTTTGCATTTGCCCAACATAGGAGGCTATCCTACGCCCATTGTAGGCACCTAAATTGTATAAATGGAAAAATTAAACATTAGAAATCATACCCGATGATGCGGGTGTTACAATTCTCTCCCAATTGAATCAGACTTCGTCCTCGAAGTCCGCTACTGTAAAAAGCTCCGGGTAATGCTCTTTCATCTCCTCATTTGGACTCCTATGTCTACTCTGAATCCTTTCGGTGCTGCCATTGCACATTAACCAAGCTCACAACCTTATTGTGAAAAGTCTTCGTATTCCTATCAAGAATCATGATCAGTCTCTCTACATAGTTTAGGCATTCATCAACTTGAATATCGTCCAAAGGAACTGTGACATCCCCAAAATCACGGCCAGAAAAGACCGGTTTTGTTTATACTTTATTTTAAAATCAGAGTAACCTTTTAATAAAAGAGTTGCGGAATTTGTCCCAAAACAATAATATGATAAAGAGTTATCAAAAGCATTTCCTTATAAATGTATTTCATTAAAAGACTCGGGATGTCATGTTCGATACAGTACATAAGTATAAACAATACCATATAAGCCTTACTACATTATTTCATATCTACAGGCCTATATCCGTAATCCTTCATCCCAACACATCACAACTATGCTCGAGCGCCACTACCTGTAATACATAAAACTGAGTGGGTCAGGCTTGGGAGCCTGGTGAGCACATATGGTTTTCAACCCATAATAAATAAGTTAATTAATTTCATCGACCAACAATAACCCGATTACCCGTTCCCGTTATCCTCACATTACGTCCCTAAACACCTATCATAAGGGACCTATCCTAAGGATCATCATCGGGATGGACACTACTGCTAAGGGGGGTCCTCAGCAATAAATGTCCTAAAGGCAACCATGGGGGGATGGAGTACACTGGTGAACACATCGTTCACAAACACCTACAGGTTGCAAGCCTGCCAGCGTTCCACTGGATTGTCTAGAAGAGTCCGTGTTCGTCATTTATACTCCGCTAGATGACTGGATCAACAACAACAACATCGAGGCCTCTCATCATTTTATCGCACATCGTCTTATTACATTTACCCATGTTTTACCCCAACATTTTTGTAGATATAAAATACATATACATTTTAAATCATTTAAAACTTGTATAAAAACATTCATCCAGCATAGATAGCAAGTATACAGATAATATGCACACATAACACATAATATATAAAATACTTCATATTTATGTGTAAGATGAAAATAATTATGCACTCACTTGAAAAGGTGGTGATTCGGTACTCGGATAACGCTTCGTTTACATTAAAATAATTTCCTTCGACGAAACCTAGTATTATTACCACTAGATTTTAGTCTAATATTTACCGTGACTAACTACTAGTTTTATTGTTATTATTATTATATAAGCGTTTAAACAATACTTTCAAACTACTATGTATAGACAGGGGCCATACATAAAACACCGGAGGGCAGGACCATTTTAGCGTATAGCACTTCTGAAATCCAACAACCCTATGCGGCCCTTTAAACCAGATTCCCCGTACCGCGAGTAGTAAAAAAGATATTATAACGACACTTATATAAATCATAATAATAGCTCAAATATTTATTATATGTTCATAATAACAGTATTAATTTTAAATATAAGCTATATTAAAATAGGGTAAGCATAACTTACTTACAAAGGGATTTTAGCTAGGAGTCAAGCTCTGCAAGGGCAGAACTTCGTCGTTGAATCTTTCTAAGAAAGATTCGTGTAGCGCTTCAGCGCTCACCTTACTACTAAAAACTACAAAAAGAGAAGTCGAATCACGAGGGACCGAAATGTTTGGGGGATAAGGAGAGAAAGACTCTTGAATCAAGAAAATGATGTAAGAAATATGAGATCCCAAGGCTCTTATTTATACTAATTAAATTTTTAAAAACTACCCTCCATAATTACTTAATGACCTTTTAATTATATAAGCAACTAAACACCCCTCTATAATACTATTTTAAATGGATTTAACGATATTTGTACTAAACTAATGTCGAAATAACTCAACATTAGTCTTATAATGACCGCATCGTCGATACATTTCTAATGATATATACATATGTGTGTGTGTGTATATATATATATATATATATATATATATATATATATATATATATATATATATGTGTGTGTGTGTGTGTGTGTGTGTGTGTACGTATATATGAAATATTATTTATTTTAATACGTAAATATGCTATTATAATTTGTAACTCGTTCATACAAGCTCCGTTTTTGACGTTCTTTATATCCACGCGTAGGAGGAGACATACTCTACAACTTTCATTTAGACTCCGTCGGCTGATTTTGACTTTATTTTTAAAGTTATATTTTTAACAGACCGGGACAAGATTGGTCCATTAAAATCTCATAACTTCTTCATACGAAGTCAGATTTGGGCGTTATTTTTATGGACACTCTTAGTTTAACATATCCTACGACTTTCATTTAGATTTCTAAGGCTAAAAGTCGCTTTATCGTAAGTACATTATTTACGCTTCCCGGTGTCGCGCCGGTTCCGTCGTGAAACTCCGATGGGTCATAACTTCTTCGTTATAACTCGGATTTCGGTGTTCTTTATATCCCCGAAATCCTTGTTTCGACCACTACAACTTTATGTAGAGATAACGGGATTATCTCACACTTTAATTTTGAGGCTTATTTTTATTCTTTATTAATTATACATTTATAATTAAATAATAAGCACATAAATACACATAATTCACATAATACTCAAATATTTCATCTTTATTACTTCAAAAAGAGTTACAATAGTTGACATAGACTATTACATTATCAAAAATGCTTAGCCTCGAAACCCGGGCGTTACAGGAACCACTACAGAATCATCAATTAAACACTTCCGCAACTGAGAAACATGGAACGTTTTGTAGATCCGGCCAAGCTCGTGTAACATCCTGATCCATGAGGTACTTAATTTCTTGAATTTCTACCATTTAGAAGAGGTTCACGATGTGAGATATGGTGGTCACCTCGTGAGTGATGGTTGACCAATTGACATATATCTTTAGAGTCTCACGACATGAGGCATGAGGTCTCACGACGTGAGCATGATCCGATGACCCAAAACCCTAATGTTTGAGTATTTAATGGATTGAGAGGCTAGGGTTGCCCATCCTCAACCTTTCTCACACTCTAGCATCCTGAAAACCCTAATTACGACCCTCTTTGAGATCCTTGGTCATTCTTGGTGTTTAGCTTGATTGAAGGAGAAGAAAAGAAGATAAAGAAGTTTCATTGTCGTGGAGTTGCAAGGAAGCATCATTATCATCAGATATTTTTCATGTTGGAACCTTGTGAGTACCAAGACTCAAACTTTATTTCATTTCATGGCTAGATTTAGGCTTTTGGTCCCATTTCCTTAAGTTCTAGCTAGTTGGAGTGAAGAAGATCCATAAAGTTAGCAACTTTATGGATTCAAATGATCTTTTGAGTATCATATGATCCATATTTGGAAGTTGGTGAAGTATTAGAAGCATGCATGAGAACTTGATGTCATATTTATGTTGGATTAGGTGTCTAATATCATAATTATTTCTGAAATGTACTTGACCTGGTTGGCATGATACATTTGGGTTACATGGCATTGCAACACTTGAATAGACTAAATGAGAGAAAGTACATTTAAGGATTATTAATATATTATAAGTTCTAATATACTAATAATATTATTTAATTAGTATTGATCAAATAATTAATTTGGAATTAATTAAGTAATCAAAAAGAGACTAATTAAATATATGGGGTTGATTATGTAAATCATCCATTCTTGTATAGTGGGATAATGATCCATGGTTTATATGAATTTAGTTAAACCCATAAGGTGCTCCATTGGTATTCCATGAGAGTTATAAACCCATGGATCATGGAATATGGAAAGTCATGACAATTAGGGTTTACATGGTGTAACCCTACTTGTGACACAACTATATAAAGACCCCAAGTCTAACAAAATCGGTGACTACAAGCAAGTGTAAGAAGCCTAGCTGAATTTTGAGTGTAAGTGATCTTCTCTCCAGGTTATTCTAAGTGTTGTGGTGTTGTGTGAGACATTTGATGCATCACACTTGATGTGCTAGGCTCACAAGGTTCTCAAGGAATCCAAACAACAAAAGGTATGTACTTCAACTAGCTATTATGTCTAAAAGTTCCCC